GTACCACAAGAAAACATGAAATAACACTGAGAATTATGTAATATTTTAGAAAACCATTCCTCCAAAACAACTGATGCCCTTGAGGCAACAACTTTCAGTTATTTGGAGAAAGACACTTAGAGGTAATTATTCATCATTATTATTCTTATGAGTTAATAACACTCCTGTGTTGGATTTTGAACTCCTCCCCTTTCACGTTCTTCTTAACCGCATCTTTCCTTTCCTTCCCCAACACTCCACTCCTCTAGCTTCCAAACCAGGGGACTGACTCATCCCGGTTTGTCCAGCAGGTTCCCAGTTTTAGCACTGTGAGCCCTACGTCTGGGGAAACTCCTCTCTCCCGGACAGACCAGGACAGGTGGTCACCCTATTCTGGAAGCAGTGATAGGATTGTGCTGGTGCCTTGTGGGTATCACCTTGTAATCAGGCAATTTTTGAAGTCATGATAACAGTCCTCATATAGTGGCTCAAATCATCAGCTCACTAGAACCCTTAACTCGAACTATTTGGGGAAAAAAATAAAAAATAAAAAAGGCTCTGGATTCTTGAAATATGCTGATCACGGACTCGGTTCTTTACTTAAAGTGGGTAGAGCTAGCCTTCCTTTACTTATGCACCAATTTATTTAAATTGGGGAAGGAAATCTGATTGACTTAATCCGTTCTGCCAGCTCTAAGATGGAAATTTCTAGAGGGAAATTTGTTTTCTTCTTTGCAAGTGTGATCTGGGCTGCTATTGCTTCAGAAGGCCAGCATTTGGAGGTTTTTGTTTGTCGCTGAAAAGAAGCCTAAGCTTCTCAGAAGGACCCAGATCCCACCTCTGTCTTTTCTTTTTGCACAAATATTTAATAAAAATTCTTACAAAGTAGAGATGAGGCCCATATTACATTCAGCTCTCTGCCCGGAGGTACCATTATCTTGCTCCATGGGATCAATCACCAAGAAGCTCATGTTACACCTTTGGCTCCCTACAGTGGGAAGAGAGCAGAAGTGTGTGACGTGCTGGGGTGCCTGCAACTGGCTTAGTAACAGGGCTTTGTGGTTTCACCTGGAGTCAGGACTAAGCAATTCCTAGTTAACTGAAATTAATCTGTAGTTTGAAATTTACCCGAATTCCACAACCAGTGCCCTTAGTGTACCCTCTGTGAGTTGTTCCCTCTCTCTAAGAACTGGATGAGAAATGGTGGAGAAGATTTTGAAGGAGGTGGGAATCCTGGGCTCATGCGTCCCATGTGGAGAAACAGAATGCAATTTCATCATCTAGGAAAATAAAAACTAAGGAGCAGAAAGACCCCAGGGCAAATAGTGAAACTTTTACCAAGAATGCCTCCAAACGAAAAGCAGAGAGTACTGACAAAAAACCCAGCCAGGTGCTCAATGGCCTCAGTTTTAAATCTCAGCTCTCATACCTACTTGCTGTGTGTGCTTACCCAAAGCACTCCACCTCTCTGGTCCTGGTTCCTCATTTCTTAAGTGGGGATAATACCACTGCCTACTCCACAGAGTTGCTGTTAAGATGAAATTACTACTTATAAAGAATTCAAGAACCATGCTTGAAACACAGAAAGTGCCACGTGAGTATTTGTTAAAAGAATTAAGGAGCAACCCATATTCCAGAATGCAGATTTTCTCAAGATTTCCAATCATGTGATAGCAGTGAAGTTATTCTAAATATGCTAGAAGAAGTGGCATTTTCTCTGAGACTATGGTAACTTGGTGTCCTGGAACAATATACAGTTTAGTGGATTAAACTAAGCGTGGAGGCAGTTAAAACCTGAAATTTGAAATACGACCTCCATGGCCTCTTAGCTTTCAACTGAGCCTCAGTTTCCTCTATACCGGAGGTTGATAAATTACAGGCCATGGGCCCCACGTGGCCCATCACCTGTAGTTACAAGTAAAGTTTTATTGACACACAGGGACAATATTTGTTTTCCTGTTATCAATGATTGCTTCTGCGCTCCAAGGGCAGAGTGGAGACAGGCCCTCTATTCCACAGAGCCAAAGGTGTTTACCATCTGGCCCTTTACAAAACACTTTCATCAACTCCCAATGTACAATACAAGAAGAATATTATCCTAATCTGGGAGGGGGCAGGGTTGAGATAACATACAAGGCAGAACCCTATACAGAGTTTAGGCTCCACAAGGGATAACTATTACCATTAAACAGAGACTCAACCTAAAGATTAGAACTTGTTTCATCAGTGTTGTTTTCTCACTTGTTTTCTATCCTCTCTACCTACGACTGTTTGGTCCAAAAACAAAATATGAGCTTGACTTCCTCTAACTTGGATTAAGCTAATCTGTCACCCACCACCCCTCCCTGTTGAGGCCATTTCTATGGCTCTATTCATCCCAACGCTCAGCCTTTCTGCCCTGTGGTTCGGGAACCTTGCTTTGTTTCTTAGCAATGCTACAGTAATCATACAGGAGGCCCGCAGATGCCTGCACCAATGTGTCTTCAATTTTTAAATTTTTTATTTAGAAATAATAAAATAAGACATAATATATAAAAATATGTACAATCCATGGTTTGTGCAGTACAATAGGAAGACTTTTAGATACAAAAAGACGGCAAACGGGAAAATAGTAACTATCACGATTGTCAAAGGCCGGGACTGTTCAACGCACCAGAGCCCAGAGCTGAAACCCAACGTCACTAGAAAAGATATTCTAGTCAGGAGTCGGGAGTCGGGAGGGGGCTACGCAACACTTTTATTTTTTGCCTTAACATTATTAGACAACAGAGTGAGAAAGAACTCGCCCTGTTTTTCAGAACAAGCTCTTTGCATTTACCGAGTGACTTATTATAAAACACGAGCTGACATTTGTCATTTGCATGGGTAACATGATTCAGGGGATAGAGCTCATCACATAGACAGTCAAGGTTTGGGATGGGAGTTCACAGGGAAGAAGGAAAGTGAAGAAATAATGCATGAATAGTGTTTTTTGTGTTTTTGTTTTTTAAAAAGGTAAAACAGACTTTCTCCAGGAATTTGGAAATGGCTACAGTGCTGTACTGACATCCTTACAATGTCTGATTCAAGTATACTCTTAGAGGGTTAGAAAACTATTCCATTCTCAATAGTCAAAATAGAATTCACTTTGTCTATCTTTTATTTAAAAATAGGAGAACCAGGAATCTATGCCTCCTACCAAAAATATAATGCCCATCCAGATACGAGCAAAAATTCTTTGAAAGGGAGTAGTAAATTCAACAGCGGGGGTGGGAGGGTTTGCTTGCAACAGAGAAGCAACACGGAGCTGAGAACAGACCCCAGATATTCACGGCGAGTCTCCTCTGACTTCATTCTAATGATGTATGTGCACTAATTAAGGAGACCCAGTCAATAAGGACAAATGCTTTGAAGGTAAAATGCAACAAAAAAATATTGTGCATTACCTGTGTCTTGGCTCTTGACAAAAAAAAAAAAAATTGCCATTTAAAGCTTGTAATTGTTAAAATACTAATAACTAGAAAAAGCTTTCAAAGGAACAGTCCATGCTGAAATAAATAACAGAACATAGCAATACGAACCTTATAAGGCTGGTAAATATTTGCTAAAACCATGCTAACCGGTAGCATAGAGGTACTAGCTCTCCAAAATTGCTGCACTGAAATTGTACTTTCTATGGCAATTTTTTTTCCTTTACAGACTTCTATTTACATTTGGCTTTAAATATGAAAATATCTGATAAACTTTATAAAATGTACACTTTAAAAACATAGCTTCTGCAAAATTTTCTTGGAAAAACAAAACAAAAACAAAAACAAACCTGTGCACCAGAAATTTTAGATTTTTTTTTTTCTGTTTTTCAGAAAGAAGTTGAAAGATTTCCCTCCCTCGTTCCTGCCCCCAGACCACCCCCTTCCAACTCTCTTAAGTCTTTTGAAGTGGCAGCACTCTGTTTGGAAGGAGCCCTCTTCGTGGCCCTCTCCGTGCTCCACTGCATCTTCATTTGATTTACATATCACAGAATACTCTTTGGTTTGATTATTTTCCTTTGCAAAATATCGAAATAGCAGCAGCTGAAGCCCTCAGTAACCTCTCGCCCTCGACAGCCGAATCATTCCCTTGTCTGTCCATTCTTTTTGTCCACCCAACCCCAGTTCCTCCAACTCTCTGAACAACTTCCCCAACCTGCCTCTAGATTTGGATTTAAAATAGCAACCACTTGCTTGACATCTCTGCCTCGGTTTCCAGGAAAAGAATGCCCCAGTCTTCAAACCCATCGGCTTTGAGGGCTGAGAGCAGCAGACACTGTCCTATTATTGCAAGCAAGGCATTTCAGAGATGGCTCTGTAAGACCCAGAGACCATCACACGCTTCGACTTACAAAATACAGGATTCCAGAACAAGCTGTTTTTTAATGGCATACAGGAATATAATACCATAAGAGAGTTGATTTTGAGACTCCAATGAAAAAGAAAAGTCAGCAACCCCCAGATTTCACACATAAGGAACTTTAAACCAAACCAAAAAAGAGTTCCATGATTGAGTTAGAGCAGGGGAAAAAGAAAAAAAAAAAAGAAAGAAAAAAAAAATATATATGTTTTGATCCAGTCAGGCAGCCAGGCAGGACAGACTTCTGGAAAACAATGTGTCCTTAGTAACCTGCTCTTTGGCTCTACAGGTGACAAGAATCAGTTCAGATCCCATCTCAAATGTGCATCCATAAAGTAGAAATAACCCTTTTAGATCATTATCTCCTCCACTTGTGGCTGTGTTATATTTTGTATGGCTCTTGTTGACCCCAAAATACTGCGACATTTTCATTCCTACCCACTACCATGAAGAAAAAAAAAAAGTCACTTTTCTCTCCCTCCCGAATACTTAAGTGGAAGTGTTACATCAATGTGGTTGGTCCACACCTCACTGGCTCCCCCCCCCGCCCCCCGCCGTTGACATCTGCAACCTCCCAGATGTGGGAGGACAAGCTCCAGACAGGCTGATTGGAAGAACCAGCCTAGAGGCCAGGTGTGGAATCCTTGCTATCTTTCACGTTGGGTAGCTCAGATTTTGAGCCAACTAACTCCAACCTAGGTCTTATGGAATACATTTTGGAATGTGCAGAAAGGGAAAATCCAAAAAAATCTAAGAGCACATCACCTTCTTTCATCTTGTGCGTTGACCTGGCCAGCCTTAGCAAGCAGGAAAGAGAAGGTATTTTGATTGCATATGTGTGAATTTTAATTCACCTTTCTTCTTCCCCTATCATAAACAAGTTGCATGAAAGAGTGAAATCGGAAAAGCAGGACACTGACTAGACTCTGTGCGTATGATGTTGTATTTCTGAGTAAGTGAAAGAGGAGAGGGTAGTTCAAGGTCTTGCTGAGGTTCAAAGTTATTGTTTCTTGATTTCAAGGCAGCCGTGGGGCTTTCTATTCTTTTTAGTCTAAGCTCCACTGTGCAAAAATGTGCATTATCTTTGGTATTTATTTTAGGTAGTCTAACTTAAAATTTGAGATAACCCATTAACATCATGGAAGGGAAAAAACAAAACAAAACCCAGAGGCTACCATTTGGCTAGTGTTACATAATGCCCTTATGTAACCAAAGAGAGAGAGAGAGAGAGAGAGAGAGAGAGAGAAAATCAATTCTAGCAAACAAATTACTGGCCTCAAAAAAATCAGGCTCTCGTTTTGGCAGCTTAATAGCCAAATACTTGCCACTTTGAAGCACATATCATGAGCTTTCAACAAAGTTCAACACTGACTTTTAAATTACACAAAAGAAAAACTACACGGCAACAAAAATACAATTTGTGTTCATGTAGTTAGCAGCTTTTCAAAAATTAAGGCAGAGTCTTGCCTTTGTTATGCCATTAAAAACATTCTTGTTCCCTAAAGAGAAGCATTCTGGATTAGTCAAATACCCAACCAAGGCTTGCCTGCAAGTTCAAGTTTTGTAAAAACACAAAACAAAACATAAAAACCCCATAACTTATTCTACAACATGTATGTGCCATTGGGTCACGGGGAGGGGGGGAGGGGGTGGGGAGGGAGGCATGTTGAGTGCTTTATGTTCATCTCCGAGCTTACAGTCTTTCTTGGAAGCCATCATGCTCGCCTCGGTCCCTTGTGGCCACTCGTCTTGACCCACCTCTTCACCAGTACCGTCGTCTGAGTAACTGTTTTGGGCCTTTGACCAACAGACTGTTATTTTAAAGTAAATATTCCAGAGAAGGAAGCAGTCATATCTCCGACTCTCGCCTTAAGGGCCTGGGCTCTAGAGGGACACTTGCCTGGTTGTGAAGGTCTATGTCAGGGGGTGTGTCCGTACTGGTGCTTTCTGGAACCCCATTGTCACTGTCATCTTCCTCTTTGCTTGTGAGGGCAACTTCATTTTCATAGCAAAATGAATTAGCGTTTGAGAGGATATATTTCTTTTCTGCTAAGTCTCTGGCACTACAAAGAGGAGTGTTGGGCACCTCATAAGTCTTGTGGAACCTTGAATAGTCTACTTTGTAATAGTGCTTCTCCTCAAAGAGTACAGGCTCGTAGCGGTGGCCCCAGAGGATTTCATTTGCCAGATAGGAGCTCCGGCATTGTGTGGTCATGGCGGTGGCTTCCACCATACCTTCTAGAATGACCACAATTTCAAAGTCTGCGTTGTCAATGTCCTGTTTACTCAGATCATATAAAGGACTGTCTTCATCTATTTCGTGAACTATCGTGATCGGAGACACCAGAAATATGCGGTCAATTCCGCTGTCAAACCCGACGTTGATATCTATTTGATCCAGGGGGATGTACTCCCCTTCCGAAGTAATTCTGGATTTGAGCAGCTGGGCTCTCACGTGAGCTTCCACCAGGTGGCTTTTCCGAAGGTTGCCCACCCGCCACATCAAACACAGCTTGCCGTCTCTCATGGCGATCACAGCGTTGTGACTGAAGACCAAAGTCTCGTTTCTCTTCTTTGGCTTTGCCATCTTCGCCATGACGGCGCCAATGATGAAGGCGTCAATGATGCAGCCCACAATTGACTGGAACACCACCATGAAGACAGCAATCGGGCACTCGTCCGTGACACACCTGAAGCCGTAGCCTATGGTTGTCTGGGTCTCAATGGAGAAAAGGAAGGCAGCCGTGAAGCTGTTGACCTCAGACACACAAGCTTTGCTCTCTTTTGACGCATCCAGATCCCCATGGAGCAGAGCTATCAACCAAAACACACAGCCAAAGAACAGCCACGAGAGAACGAAAGCCAGGCAGAAGATAACCAGCATCCACCGCCAGCGAATGTCCACGCATGTGGTAAAGATGTCTGCAAGGTACCGTTGTCCCTTCTCCCCGACGTTGATGAACTGAACATTACAGTGGCCATCTTTCTTCACAAAGCGGCTCCTGCACTGTTGTCGGGTGTGGACTTTGCTCTTCCCGTTCCCAAAGCCGTTTGCAACCGCCATGGTGGCCAACTTCATTCCGTCTTCTTCTGAAGAGACAATGCTATAGCGGTTGGTTCGCACACTGCCCATCGCTTCTGCTGTGGACGCCAGTGCTTCTGCTTTGGAAAACAGTCTGAGTTTTTGCAAAACCCTTTGGAGAAACAGTTTTGAATGTTCAGTGAGGTCACACACAAAAAAGAAGAAGGAGAGATGGGGGTTTCCAGGAGCCTTGAGGGTCTACCAAGGTCTGTCTACGGACATGCAAAGCTACTTCAGTAACTCAGCTGACATCCAGAGTACATGTCCTGAAAACAACAACAACAACAAAAAGACATTATTTTTTTTAGAAAAGAAGTCATTATTAATGGGTTCTACTCTCTAAGTAACGACGTTTCCTAGCAAGACACAGCCAGATACAGATAAAAATACCAGTAAATTATAAGGCATTTCATTTCTTCATCCCCTAAAAATATTCTTATTGTATTTAAAAGCATGAAGTTATTACACACGGGAGAGTTCATTGTTTGGGACAGTCTTTCAATCAAAATTTCAGGTTCTTTTTCCCTCTATTGTTTCCAGCAATCTAGGAGATTCTATTTTTACAGATAAACCTCTCTTATTCTCTCTCTGGCCTCCCCTACTTGCTAGGGTCCCAAGTTATTAAGCAGAAGAAAGACTTGCTTAGTCCAGGGTTTGTCATGAGGCTTTGAGAACTCAGACATATCTAGAGAACAGTTCGTATCAAGGCAGAATGTTAATATTAATTGAGGTGCAGGTGCATTATGGGAGAATACCGGAGCCCTCGATGACATGATGGAAATCAGAAGGCACAGACTATTTTGTTTAAACGATAATTTAAAAAGAAAAGAAAAGAAAAAAAAAAACCTGAGCCTACAGCCCTTATAATGATCTGAAATCGGTCCCGATTTCTGAAGGCTGTTTGGGCTTGCTTCATCACTTCACATGCTACAAGCAGCCACTTTGCAGAAATGCCTGATAACATCTCTGTTAGTGCAAGTGATTCTGACTTGAAGGCGTAGGTTTGCTCTGGGGGATAAAGAGCGAGTCTGTTGCTTAGCGATGAGTCCTGAAATTCTCCAGAGATGGGACTGCCATGTGTAATGACAGGCTAGGAAGTAAGCACCTTTGTGCCAAAGGACCAGGTCTTTAGCGAACTGAGATAAGGCAGGAACTCATTTCATGTGGGTCCAATTCTGTGTTTTCCCAAACAGAGACAACTTTGTGGGACCGGATCATAATTGTCAGTCAGCTTACTTTCACTTCGAGCGCTGCTGTTTGCTATATGTTCCCATGGAGAAGGCACTCACCTTTACCTAATGTGAACAAACAGTAGTTTTCAGTTTTCTCCTCTAGCCTCATCCTAACCTCGAGAAAAGCGATCTATTTACTTCAACTTCCCCTCTTCACTCTAAAGAAACTATTTTTTTTTCCTTGACTCACAAAAGTCTAAGATAAAGTCCAAAGTGTTTCCCTGTATCAAACAGAAATTAACAAAATGAATACAGCATAGAATGCAAAACTAGTGATTCTCCCCTCATCCAGCCACCCAATCGATCTCCTATTGTAAAGGGGGACGAGGGGAAACAGATGGAAAGGAGCAGACATTTGCTGAAGCCCTGATAACAAGGACTCCACTTTTTCGTTCTCCCCCAAAACCACATTGAGATCAAGCTGAACCACCTGCAAACAAATCATGCAAGTCATTTATCTTGTTTCTGAACACCCCCTTAAAGAGGGGCAAGGTGCATTGTCTTTGAAAATGCCTTGTTAGAGTCTTTTCATTTCTCCCTCCTTATCCAAGTTATTATGCAAGAATGTGCCCCAACACATTTTTCCTGAGATTAGTCATCTGTGAAAATTGCAATGTGTGTTACATTTTGGCAGCTTTTGACACGTAAATGATGCCCGATTTGAAAGTGCCTTTGAATTACTTTATAAAAAGAAGTTACTGTGCCTTCCCAGTCTTCCACCTGCTTCAATGTTTTGTCTGCTTCCCTGTGAAGTTTGTACTTGGACAAAGAAATAAGACTCCTATCCCTCGGGGTTCTAGATCCTGGACATGGGAGGAATTTTTTATTTTAACAGTGATTTCAGATTATTGGACTCATATGAAATTGCCGAGGATTTCTACGCAAAACTAGAGAGACGTAATAATAGAACACCAGATGCAGGTGTACTCTCCAAAAAAGGGGGAAGGGAGGGAGGCCTCATTTAAATAGTGCTTGTATCTTGAGGTCTGAATGACTTCAGAATCTTACAAGTTGACCTCAAGAAATTCCCTTTTCATGATTCAAAACAACCCTTCCGTCTGAGTTACCATTAGGGACCGTGAGTAGACAGTTTCAAATTTCTTCTGACTTATTTCTGCACTCTTTCCAGATTAAAGCATAACAACCATATGAAATCTAAAGACTGAATTACGACCTCCCAAAAATTGTGACCCCAGGACATTCGTTCGAATTCCATAAAACACACAATACCAGTTCCCTACCAAGAGCCTCCTGCCTTTAGAACTTTGAAAAGAGCCTGTATTGAATGACTCTTATTGTCTTATTTCCACTGTTAATGACAGAATTTGTTCCACATGCAGAGCATCATTTAGAAATTTTACCATTCTGCCTGGAAAGGGGGGGGGGATTTTTTTGGCAAAGTGGAAGCTTCTGTCACTTCAAATAATACACTCCAAGACAGATTGGAGTGTGTATATGTGTGCACACACATTACATGTCTTCAGAGTTTTGGGGAGCTGACTACATAGCAAAAATCTGGAACCTGCCAGTCTGCTGGGGTGATTGTCTTAATAGTTCATGAAGAAGAACACTCTCCTTACTGACCTGCCTACAAGCCCAAGTGGCTTTAGGCAAGCAGAAAATTTCCTTGCCTGCTTTTTTCTCACTAAAAAAAATCACCAATTCGTGAGTGTCTGGGAAAAAAAAAAAAAACTTTCCTTCAGAATAGGGCTTTTGTGCAACTTTATTTTAGGCCTATATTCAAAAGAGTTCTTTTGAGAAGCATTTGATTGAGAGGAGATGAGAACACTAAGTGATCCGACTCCTTGATGGGTGCAATTCAGGAGAAACCGTAACTGATTTGACGGACAATGTGTAAATTCCCCTCTTCGCCAAAATATTTAAGGGCCTGATGTAAATCTCATAGATACAAATAATCATTTTACCCAGGCTATCACCAATGAGGTAGAAAGTATTTCTGGGAAATTGAGAGGCTACATGTGGTGCTGTTCATGTTAAGACTATTTATAGGCTGAGCCAAAATTAAGCATAAGCAATGGAAAAAAATAGTTCAGCCATTTCAGTCTTAGGTAGATGTTAAAGAGAGAGAGCCCTATAGATCAATTCAAGGTCAAGGAGATAACACTGTATAAATGAGTGCATCTAAATAATTTTTTCCCATTTAGGAAATATCTCCAATAGAAAACTAGAAAAACATAATTATGACAAATAAATGAGGATGAATGTACCTCATAATATGGTCATGTGTGCAATGGGTGAGAAAGTTTGTGGACTGCAAATAAGGACAGTAAAAGAAAGTGTGCTGGGTTGAGAGAGACGTCTGCTAATGAGTGTTCAGAGCAGTTATTCCCCAGCTGACGCCATATAGACCAGCCTGAGTGTGCTCTGGGCACATGTTGCTATGTGGGCACAACTGCTAGCAAAGCAACCTCTTAGGAGCTCAGTAAACAGAAGGGAGGGGGAGGGGGAAGAAGGGAAGGGCAGAAGGATCGGCATTTATCTCTGTGAGCACTTTAAAATCTATATTCAGCAGTGCACGGAGCATCACTCAGCATTTGCGAATGCTGAGAAATACACATATCTGGTGATTAAAAAAAAAAAAAAAAAACCCTGCAACGGTCTATCTGTTCAGCTAAAGATGTGGCCAATCTTTCATGCTACTGAGAAGTCATACAAGGACTTTGCAGCTACCCAGAGATTCTACACCTGGGGCAGCAGAAGAGAGTAGAAATATGGTGTGTCCAAAAAAAAAAAAAAAGGCCAAATTCACAGGAGTTTAGAACAAATATTCCTATGGATACCAATAAGTTTAAAGAAAGTATAGGCAAAACAGGAGGGAGACGGGTTAAAAGTAAAGTTAAATGACCTTGACCCCAACTTTGACCCCTCTCACCATCCCTGTAGTAACATCTCTTACTCCTGAGCCTTGAGATTTTTCCAGCTATTGGCAAATATAAATAAAGCATTAGGGATGGGGGGTGTAAGTGAGCTTACAAAATGTTAACAAGTGTACAGGTAATATACAACAGACCTAGGGCACTGGTTAGTGAGAGGGAAATCTAACAGCGGATTGATTATTAATGGGAAAAGAAAGCAAGTGATAAAAGGCAATATGCATTCTTCGCATACCCCAAACACGTTTTCAATGCCCTGTTTCCTAACAGGTAAGGTCCATGAAAACCCCCAGGATTCACAGCAGTATCCTAGTTACTATCCTACTGGTAAGGCTCATCCAGGCACAGATATTAAACTGCCCATTTCCTATCTCGATTTTTTTTTTTCAATTGTCATGAGGAGTCTATGCTATGATGCAATCTTTTTGCAGAATCCACTGTGCTTTCCTGAAACCACGCTGTCTTCAACTTAGGTATTAATGCTATTGTTACTAAGAATAATACGTTGCTTAGGAGAGAGTGGCATAGGATGTGAAAGTTTTGCGGGCTTCGGGCTCAAATCCAACTCGGGCTCGCTCTCTCTTTCCCCAGCAAAGCAACTTTGAGACGCTCGCTCTGTTTGGAACTCGACGCTACACTTGAAGCAATGACAAAGGAAAAAAAAAAAAAAAAAGAAAAAGAAAGAAAGAAAAAAAAAAAAAGACGCTAAGGATCAAGACTAGGGCTGAGTCCCAAGTCTGCCTAGGTTTGAGACCAGTGTTCTAGAAGCACTCCCCAGCCCCCGCCTATTTTTTTTTATTTTTTTTTTCTTCCTTCGAGCAAGAATCGAACACAGGCTCCCTCGCCCTTGTCTCCAAACTCAGTATCTCGCTACAGCTGGTGCATTGGAAGTAATGAGCACAAACAGATGCTGCGGAGAAATCTGTTCCTATTGCTCAACTGTTCCAAGCATGTCTCAGTATTTTTAGCTCTGGGGATGTTCTGGTGCGCACACAAACTCTATAGGCATGATCTGGGACTCCGCAGCGTCGGGAAGCGCTACAGCAGCGTGACAGCTGGGCACCTCTGGAGCAGTGGGGCAGGGTAGGGTTGGGGACGGCGGCCCGAGTCCACTCCCCAGGACACCCAGGCAGCGGGAGACAAGGAGGGAAGAAAACACACAGCAGCCCTTACCTGTTGCTGGCGCAGGAGCATGGGGACATGAAGTGGAAGTGGGGGGTACAGAGGCATGTAAGATCCAGTAGTTTGTAAAAGCGAGTGAGCCAAAGCAAACCAGAATCCCCAAGACCCAGCTTGCCGGCGCCGGGGAAGGCTGCGCGCTGGCCAGGGCTCCAGTGCGCTCTGCAATATCCTGGGCTCTTTTGAGATACCGGCCCGCCTGGCTCCGCCCCCCCGGCCCCGGCCAGCCAATCGCAGCGCGCCTGGCGGCACGGGCCGGCCCCGGGAACCGCGGCGGGGAGGGGACGATGCTACACCCGCGGCCCGCGACGCTGCCAGCGAGGAGAACCTGCCGCCGCTTCCTCCCCCCACCCCTCCGCCCTCCGAGCCGGGTCTGGAAGTCCGGCCCCGGCCGGGGAGGAGGAGGTGGCGCCCCAGCTGGGACAGCAGCAGCAGGTGGGAAGCTCCGCGGCCGGGCGTTTGCGGCTGCCTAATTGCAGCGTGGCCTTGGGCAAAGCTTCCTAGCCCTCTCCGAGCCCCACACTTCCCTTTCCTTCTGCTCGGGGGCGGCGGTGCCGTGCGTGCTCCTAGAGCGGCCCGCGAGGTGCCAGGGCCGGGCGAAACGTTTGCAGGCGGGGAGGGTTGCCTTTCAGCCCAGGCGCGTCTCCCTCTCCCCTCGCTCCCACCCACTGGCCCCCGCACGCCCCCCGCCCCCGCCCGAATTCCCCGCAGAACCTGCGGTGCGCGGAGGAGCCGCGAGTCCAACGGGGAAGGGGACCGGGACCGGGACCGGCTCGCGGAACCCGGCTGGATTTAGACTCGCACAACTGTTGCAACTGCAGAGCCGCTGGGCTCTTTCTGCTCCGGGCTGCTGGTGAATTACTTACAAAGCGCCCAGACTTCTCTGAAGGGTGAACGACTCGTTCCCTCTCGCACTGTCCGCCCTCAATCGCTTTCTCCACCACCGCCCGGCACGCTCTACTGATCTAAAATCAGAGCAATTAGAGTAATGAATTCTCTGGAACAGCAACTCCTACAGACACTCAGCTCTGCCCTCGCATCAGCGCCTCCCAGCCTCAATTCCCAGCAACCAGGCAAGAGCATGCAGACCCTTTAAAAAACCTATGTTAGCTTCAGTGTTAATCGCGTCTGGATCCTGGAACTTTGCAGATTGATCCGTGTGCCCGTGTGTCGGTGTGTGTGTCTGTGTGTAAATGGGGTGAGTGCGTGTTCCTCTGAGTACTGTGGTGTCATAACGAAGCTTTGCTCTTAAAGGACGCAATATATTTAGGAGTCTTCCTTACACGGAGTTTGAAATTCCTGCGTGTGTGTGTAATGTTTATTGCCTCCAGCGAGCAAATGCGTCTTTCGTGCAGTTTGGTTAAACCTCTAAAGGCCTTCCTAGAGTCGCCGAACTGCTTCGCCAAGCTGGCTCGGATTCCCGGCGGCACAGACCGAGTGCAATTTGCGTGTAGGGGACGGGAAACTGACAATTCAAGGAAAGGGTCTGCGCGGGTACCCGCTTCCTAGCCTCATACCCTCCTACAGCCCCTAGGAGGTGCTGGTGAGATAGGGAAGGTTTTGCAGATGCGTCCTTAACCCTGCTTTAGCAAGTGTGCCGCTTTTCCTAGCACTGAGCGAGATACTGAAATTTAAAAGTGTGGAATAAGTTGGGCATGCGGTGTTTCTGCTATGAGAGCCAAACGTATTGCCGTTCCATTCCACTCGCTGACATTATGCAGTCTTCCAAGCCCTGTAACCGCCTTGCCTTTTAAAACCCTGTGTGCGCGGCTGGGGGTGGGAGGGTGGAAAAGCCTCAGGCCATGGGGGCTGGGGGGGGGGGTTGCTGGGGAAGGAGGGGAAGGGGTCTGTCTACTTGAGTATTTATTAAGTAATGCATTACTTTTAAACAGCTTGAATTAACTCTGCAAAATAGATGGGTGTATAGAAACCCAGTCTGTAGCCCTGAGACAGAGGAGCTAAAATTCTATGTAGTCAAAGGGAGGAGAAGGAGTAACATTTCACCCCACCACAATATGCTTCTTCTGAAATGTGTTTCAGCATGGATTTCTTCTAAGAAACAGGTGGGAGAGGTCCAGTTAATCCCTTAAAACATATTAAGCCTAAGTGGGAAGAGGAAATTAATCATGATGTATGTTCTCTTCTTTATTATGATTCAATCCGTGCATCTGTGGATGGCTAAGAATTTTCCAAACCATGAATTCAGAGAGGCAGCGTTTTTATTTCCAGGTAATGAGCTCTTTTTGAAAATCAGTTACCCAGCAAGGGATCCCATTTCTCTGGAACATGGATTGAAATTGTTTTATTTTAATATTCTTCTCTAAATAAACTGAGTATACCATAGGCCAAAATAGTTTCATATAATAGAAGAATCTTCAAAGAAATGAACACAGAGTTATAAGATTATGGTTGGTTGCATAAATTTAGTTATGGGAGGTGGCAAATAAATACACATATCCTAATCTTTCTTACCAACATCACTCTTCCCCACCATGGGCTGATATACAGCAATGCTTATTTCTTGAAGTAGAAAGTTAGAGAAAAACTGATTATTTGAATAAGTACCTTCCCAGCCTGAATCGAAGTAGTACCTTAATTATTTAGCTACATAAGGAAAATGAAGGATTATGTTTTGTAAGTAAATGTAACTTTGTGAATGCAGGATAGCATTGATTAACTCCACTGTTTCCTGTATAAATGAAAAAAATTAAATGTGCATTTTAATTAGTAAGTGACTCTTCACTATATGCCTATTAGGAAAATTCTAGTGTTCCAAAGTCTTCAGCACTTTTTGGAGTGATGCATGATACAAATTTCTCTAGTCAGAGTATCTTTTTTGGCTGAATCAGTCCTTATTTAGCAAAAATCCCCGTTAGTTTTGGACACCAGTGCTGTTGGGTGTTGGGATCCATCTGTGGATTAATTTTTTCCAAGGAAATGACAGTTATGCTCTTACTGATTCCCTCCACAGTAACCACCTATAATATTAGAGCCAAATATTAGTCATAATCTAGATCTGTAACTCAGATTATGAATGGTTGTGTGACGCAGAAGGTGATTGTTCCACTAGCAGCACAAATCTTTCCTTTGCACTTATATAAATATCTCTAGCAATTTGATATATTTTCAGACTTCCATTAACTATATATGGCTCTCATATATAGTATATGAGTATATGTTATATAGTAAATGCTATATATATGTGTGTATATATATATATATATAGCAGTCCAATTTTACAATGATGAGAAATGAAAATCTCTCATTTGTATTTGCCGGTATTGAGAACCCCTTACTAATCTTCACAGTAATAATTAATAGCATAAATAATAAATGTTGGGTGAACTTAAAGTGTAGGAAGGATGAGTTTGCAATCTGCTGCAATGAGGACAAGCCATTGACTATGGTATTTTAAGGCACTGAATGTAATTTTTTTTTAAGATTTTATTTATTTGTTTGAGAGAGAGAGGGAATGAGAACAAGTGGGAGGGAGGAGAAGCAGCAAAACCAGAGGGAAAAGCAGGTTCCTGGCCAAGCAGGGAGCCCATTGTGGGACTCAGTCCCAGGACCCTGGGATCATGACCTGAGCTGAAGGCAGACACCCAACTGACTGAGCCACCCAGGTGCCCAACACTGAAGTAATCTAATCAATGGGAAAACAGCTCTGGCAATTTCACTTACCATCCTGGTAAGATTTCATCTTCATGTTAAATTCCATAAATGTATTTGTTGAGTAAACACTTTATAGCTTTGTGATAGGCTGAGTGATACGGGAGACTTAAGAGTCCTAGGAGGAACAGTTCATTCCCTCTGAGTCTCTCATTGACAAGATAAGCAATGCACAAGTGAAATCGAATGGCCAAATGACAGTATAAATAAGGCAGCTTATGATTGAAGTGCTAAAATCAATCATGCAAGGAAAAAAAAATTCTGGAGAGTGTCTGAGGAGTGAAATCAACTAGAATTCATGGGCATGTTTAGAATGGAGGTTTAAATACATGTGACATATTGCCATGTAGAGCTGGGTTAAGGATACTAAGAGAGAACCAGAAGACAGGATTGCCTCTTCATTCAGTTTATGTCCTAAAACGCCTGTTATGCTTCCAGATCTGTCAATACACATGTAATCATGTGTGTAAATTAGAAGCTGCTTCTACAAAGGCTGCATGTCTCTGCTTACACAGACTTTTTTTTTTTTTTTCTTCTAAAGCAGTGGGCTTTATTCCATAAGGCTTACTGGCCATTTGTGACCACTGGGGCACACACAGTGATGATGCCTTATTATTCTGGCATACATGGGAATGCAGCATATCACATCATAGCTTTTCCAGCTTATGGACATGTGTTTGTGCTCAGAATCATCGTCTCTAATACACTGTATGCATCCTCAAACTCTAGCTGATTGCCCCTGGAACACTCTAGCATGTTTTGAAGTTTTGTTCTTCTCATGCTATTACAAATACGTCTCCCTATATTTTTTCCACTTTTCAATATCCACTGCCATGTCTTTTTTTCTCTTTATATCCTCATTGCCTTGCACCCAGGCAAGGAAATACATCAGTTTCAATAAATGTCAGCTGAATGAGGGAATGAAAGTAACAGTGTTTTTGAGTAGACTACGACTTTTGAACAATGACTCAGTATCATTATAATAAACATAAACTATTTCATTTTTACCTGCAACAGAGGGGGACTATCCAAATACAGTGAAAGCAATGTCGTCTATGTTAAATGACCATAAACTAAGCTTATTTAAGTCTTCTGTTTGTTTTTTCTCTCTTCTCCACCAATGACAGCCTTCACTTCTCATTTTTGCTTCTGCCAAATATATCAGGCTGTCACCATGCTCTATCTAATTCGTTGATTCTCGTCTGCACTGGACTGAGAAATTACATAACCAAGGTTGCTTAAAAATATATGCAAAGTGAAAGCAAATATAATCTAAAGGGCTTAAAGTGGATATATATTTTTGAAATAGTATGAGCAGATACCAAATTTAGAGTTACCTTGTTTTGGTGAGTTTCCGTTTTGGGTCAAGAAGCTTCAGGATATGGATTTATGACATCTATTTTGGCTTCTCAGAGCATTTAAGTGCGTTAGTCCTTGCATTTACTGTGTAATGAATAGTTGAGGGAGACCTCTGGGTAAGGGAGGTGCCTTTGTGTCT